CATGCTGCATCATGAAGCATCACGCTGCATCATGCTGGATCATGAAGCATCACACTGCATCATGCTGCATCATGCTGCATCATGAAGCATCACGCTGCATCATGCTGGATCATGAAGCATCACACTGCATCATGCTGCATCATGCTGCATCATGAAGCATCACGACGCATCACGCAGCATCACGCCTCATGCTGTCTTTGGGGGAAAGTTTTTTACTTTCTTATCATAAACAAACTAAACTCTGCTGGTACCTTAACTGGACCAATGAGTTCAGTTCACACTGCACTCAGTTTTAAGTTTTCAGGTCCATCCATCCATCCATACATACATATTGATTTGATAATATTCTGCCTGAAGCCACCATGTTTTGATCTCTGCTGCAGGATGCAGCACAAACTGATTTCTCTGAGAGGTTTTAACCCTTTCCTTCTCATGTCTCTGCTCAGACTGGGAGGCTCGTATCGACAGCCACGGCCGGATCTTCTTCGTAGATCATGTGAACAGGACGACGACGTGGCAGCGGCCCACCGGACCGCCTGCCCCGCAGGGCCTGACCCGCTCCAACTCCATCCAGCAGATGGAGCAGCTCAACCGCAGGTAACCATGGCAACACAAAGCATCATTTAGGTGGGATTCATTACTGACAACCAGATAAAACTGGAGTCTGGAAAGAAATCTTTTTCTTTTTAGTGATCAATATTTGGTAACACTTTATTTGAAGGGGGTTGAACAAGACTGTCATAAACATGTCATAACACCTGTCATAAACATGAATAAGCCTTCATGAATATTTATGACTGTTGTCATAAAGCATCATTCGGTAAATTATGACACTTTTAATACAAAGTTGACATTATTCAAAATGTCTTTGTTATGACAACTTGACATTAACCAAGAAATCATTACTGTTTAAACTTTACATTTAATAACAAATTTACCTAATTTTTAAAGTGCAATCAGTAATACTTTTATAACAAATTTATGTCAGATCATGATTTCTTGGTTTATGTCAAGTTGTCATAACAAAGACATTTTGAATAATGTCAACTTTGTATTAAAAGTGTCATAATTTACCGAATGACGCTTTATGACAACAGTCATAAATATTCATGAAGGCTTATTCATGTTCATGACAGGTGTTATGACATGTTTATGACAGTGTCATGACAGTCTTATTCAACCCCCTTCAAATAAAGTGTTACCAAATATTTTAAAGAGGCAGGATTCATTGTTTCCCAGCCACATGGAGCCATTTTATATTGTAGCCCAGTAACTGTGTTTCCTTCAGTTGTTATAAAAATGCTATAAATATCAAATATGACTTAACAGAAAAATGGGAAATTGGGCCTCTGTCTCTTTAAGAAGCTCCTGCTCTTCCCGAAGCTCCGCCTCCAGGAAGTCGTCCCAACATGGCTCCTCTTTAACCCTTTAATGTTTTTGCCAGCATTGCTCTGAGCAGCAGCTCCTATAATGAGCTCAGCTGCTTGCTAATTGCTGCTGGCTAGTCTGAAGGAGCGGCGTGGGGGAGGAGCTGCGCCTTAAAGGCGGGGCTAGGCCCACCCAGGTGTTTTAGCAGCTGAATGGTTGCTATTAGTGGAAACATGAAAGAATCAAAGGAAAACTAAGGGAATAACATAAAACACGATGGAAAGATTAAAATGTTAATTTCCCACAATCCTAACCCTTGAAAATCTGATCAGCTAAGTGTTTCTTTGCTTTCTTCATGTTTTTTAATTTAACCACAGTTTGTTTCTCCTGCTGACAGATACCAGAGCATCAGGAGGACCATAACCAGCAGTGAGCGGTCAGAGGAATCCTCCGCTGAGCTGCCGGAGCCGGAGGGCGAGCTGATGCCTCACTCCATCTCCGGTCCGTTTCCTCTGACACAGCAGCTGGTCGCCTCCACAGGCTGGTCCAGATGTTTCTCTGACCGTTCCCTGAATCTGTTGCAGAATATCGCAGAGAAAGCGCCGTGGCCCACTCCAGTGGTCGTTCACGCCTCTCCCTGCTGCTGCAGTCGCCCAGCGCCAAGTTCCTGTGCAGCCCAGACTTCTTCACCGTGCTGCATTCAAACCCCGTAAGCCAGTGGTTCC